TCATCCCTGTGCTGAGGTGGCCCTCTCTGCTCCCGCTCTTTTCCAGCATCTTCCATGAGTAGCTCCAGGTCCAGGTCACTGGAGGTTTCATCTTCAGAAGGGACACTTCCAGCCTCCTGAGCCAGTGGTTCTTGGGGTGTAGGCCCTTCCTTCCTGGCTGAGGCACAGGCCCCATCACGAGCTGGTGGGCTCAGGCCCTGTGGCACCATTCTGCATTCTTTTTCCTCAGATAAACTGGTTGCTGAGGCCTTGCTTTGGGGAGCTTTAAATTTTTTCTTAGGGCCTAAATGAAAAGATCACAAAGTTGAGTCTTCCTATTAGGTCAGACTGTCCTCACCTCACAAGTCAAGCTCTCAAATTCCCATTTCTAAGAATATCTGGAAAAGACGGCCTTTCTCAGTAGAAAGAGTCTGGGCTTTGGACTAAGAAAGACTTGGAGTCAAGCCATGGGTCAGCCATGAGCTCCACATGGGTCTTGAGCACATTTTTACCCTTTTAGCCTCAGTTTCCTTATCTTTACAATGGCAAATATCCAGTCCTCAGGCTGTTGAAAGAATCAAAAAATACAAACAGGGAAGTCTCTGTGTAGCCAGCCCACAGCAATCCTCAGTAAAGGTTAGTCCCCCTCTCCCTCCCATTCTCCTAGCCCCAGATCAAATCAGATCAATAACCATTATGTTTCTATAGAATGTGGTGTGTGGGCTCAGCACCTGTGGCTCAAGTGGCTAAGGCGCCAGCCACATACACCTAAGGTGGCAGTTTGAATTGAGCCCAGGCCTGCCAAATAACAATGATAGCTGCAACCAAAAAATAGCTGGACATTGTGGCGGGTGTCTGTGGTCCCAGCTACTTGGGTGGCTGAAGCAGGAGACTCGCTTGAGCCCAGGAGTTGGGGGTTGCTGTGAGCTGTGATGCCACAGTACTCTACTCAGGGTGACAGCTTGACGCTGTCTCAAAAAAAAAGAATGTGGTGTGTGGTATGTGCAATCTGAGAAGTGCTCTTTTGTTCTAATCTTCATTCTTTCTTGAAAGTCATGTCAAGCTGTAGAATTGTTAAGAAATAATCTAGAGGCTCAGCGCCCATAGCTCAGTGGCTAGGGCACCAGCCACATACAACAGTGCTGGCAGGTTTGAACCCAGTCCAGGTCTGCTAAAATAACAATGACAACTAAAACAACAACAACAAAAAATAGCCGGGTGTTGTGGTGGGTGCCTGTAGTCTCAGCGACTTGGAGGCTGAGGCAAGAGAATCACTTAAGCCCAAGAGTTTGAGGTTGCTGTGAGCTGTGACGCCATAGCACTCTACTGAGGGTGACATAGTGAGACTCTGTCACAAAAAAAAAGAAAGGAAAGAAAGAAACTAGAAAAGGTAGGATAAAGACCTGTACTTCATTCCCCATAGTTCTTCCCAGGCCTTTAGCCTTACCTCGCTGGTCAGAATCTGAATTCTCTTGACCTTCCTTCCTTCCCATTATGGGTGCAGAAAGAGCTGTGGATTCACTGCCCCAAGATCTCTTCACTGTCTCCCTTTTCAAGGTCCCATCTCGTCCATTCGCCATGCCTGCATGAAACCCAACCCCCAACCATGAAAGGAATTTATTTCTCTCTAAATGACAGCCCAGCAAGGGAAGACAGCCTCTCTATATTTAATCTCTGGCCTGCCCCACATCTTCTATTTGATGTAGTGAGTTGGCTCAGTGGCATACAATTCTCCAATCATCTTTATTTTTTATCCTCTGGATTTTTTTTTCTTTACAGTTCTCTATGGAGTCTGACTTCTCCAGAAAGTCATCCTTCTTGGCTAACAGCTTAAAACTTTCCACCTTTAATCTAAGATTTTATAACTCAATACACAAATATGAGGAGGCTCTAGCTTCCCACTGACACTATCAGTGATTCTTGCCTATTTTCTCAGGCCATGGAGATGAGATGATCAGTTAAATCCTGGCTACTCGCAAACATCTTACACTCTATAATTTCCCTGCCTTAACTATGAGACATGTCCCACTTCTAGTTGGCTTGCTTACCTCTTGGCTTGAATTTTTTTGTCTGCATTTTGACTGACTTGGGACCAGACAGAGTTGGGTACTGAGGATGAGAGAGATAATAAGAAAAAGATAACTTAAGTCACATATCCATTTTTAATAGAGAGGGCTGCTACAGTATGATAGATAATGGGCTTTAAGGGAGTCAAATTAGGTTCTGGGAGCCTGATATTATTTAAACCTATAGCAACACATAGAAAAATGTGTGGTCACCTTCCCATTTTGTTTAATGTTCGTCAATGGAAGGTTAAGTATAAAAAGAAGGAAATAAATCTAGGGCACAAATATGATAAAAATTGGGAAATTAAAAATTATAAGAGAAAGTAAAAAATACATATTCCATATACCAGGAAAAGAGACACTAAAAAAAAAAGTGAATGAATATATATCCTAAGTGTCTGTATAGGGGATGAAGGAGTAGAAAGAAATAACCTAATTTTCCCCAAAATTGCATCAGGAAGAACCAAAGAAATATAATAGGAACTGAGATTGTAATCAAGAAAAAAGTTCATGGGATATGAGAAATTAGAATAAAGAGGAAAGAGGAGCGCCTCTTTCCTTGGAGACCTCTAAGAGTAAGAAACATACTCAGGGCTACCCACAGGCATAGTAAATGTAAATCCATGTTAACCAGATCTTCTGTACAGAAGAAACCCTAAGTTCATTATCTAAACCAATATTTAAGGCTAAATCTTACTTTTTCCCCTTCTTCCTCCTCTTCCTCGACCTCCTCCTGTTCTTCCTTCTCTTCTTCTTTTTCTTCCTCCTCCTCCTTCTCCCAGCAGGAATCTGGGTTGTTTGTCTCAGAGAGCATTAAGTCTAGAACAGGAAAAGGAAGAAAGGGTAAATAATTTATCCAATAAAATAGCTGAGGAGTTAATGGAGCTGATTCCAGAAAATCTGTCTTCTAACTCCACCTTCTGTGTCCAAGTGGTATTTTCTCTGTAAAATAGGATCCCAGATTATCATAGTTCCACCTTTTTCAAAGTCTATCAGTATTCAACAAAAACCCTCCTTCCCACTCCTTTTTTTCCCATTCCTCTCTCCACCCATCTGTCTTCCCATTATGGATACTGGGTCAATGACATGCAGGAGAACCTCCTATTATAGAATCCAGAACCAACCTGATGACATGAAATATAAAATGTAAAATAATGAAAGGTTGGGTATTGCTCTCATGATAGAATCTCTCCTCTCTTTCTCTAGTGTTCATCCTCCATTTATTTTACCTTTTCCTTCCCCACTACTGTTAGATCCACTGTATCGGGTCCGGAAACCAAACAAGTTAACCCGCTCCTAAGAGAATCAAGAAACAAAAGCATCATCCATTGCCCCCCCAGGGGTGGCTTTACCCTTTGTCTTCTAGATGTTAGTTACGAAAAAATTTGTATTCATTTTTCATACCATTTTCACTCAAAATTTCATATTAGGGCTCGGCGCCTGTGGCTCAAGCGGCTAAGGCACCAGCCACATACACCTAACGTGGCAGGTTCAAATCCCCAGCCCGGGCCCGCCAAACAACAATGATGGCTGCAACTAAAAAATGGCAGGGCGTTGTGGCGGG